GGAAAAACTCTTTTGCCGCAACCACCATGTCTGGACTTTATTCTCCGCAGGCAGCAGAATTGGTCTATTCCTGTCCTCAGCTTTCCTTTTTGCTGGCTGCTCTGAATCCTCGCATAAGCAGTTTATCGCGTCCATAGCCTATGTTTTTTTTTTCTTTGGGAATCTCAAACCCCTGGCTTCCTCATCTCATAACCAAGAGTGCTCTGATCGTCAGATAGACAAGAGACTGTCGTCATAATAGATTCAATGGATCTGGAGAGCTGAGATCCCACGTGGTATATTTTTTTTTTTTGTCCAGCATATAAATTCAACTACGGGGATGATCATCGGGTTTCAGGGTAAGTACAGTGAATAGAAGATGTCTGTATTCGAGCTGTATATTTACGTGGGAAAACTACCACGTTGTCAAAAGTTGGTCGCTCTTTCAAGTCCGATTCATCACAACATGACCTGCGCAGGGCGTCGTGGTGGCGGTCCAGAAGGCCGCCAGACGCGCCGACGCTGCAATGCGCTCCATTTTCATCCTTACCAATCTGTGCTGGATACCGTATGTTGATTGGGATGATCCATTTTCTTAGCTGACTCACCGGCGCCTTCAGAATGACAACCGAGGACGAGGACAACCGCTCGAGTTCGTCTTGGTGGCGGAAACACCGCCTTCCAATGTCACCGAGACCGAGTCCAAGGTCCTTGTCCCAGAGACGTCGCCATTGCCGGTTGAGTCTGCAAAGAGCAACCAAGACCTGGGCGTACGCAGTGGACCGCTGGTCAGCACCTTGACGACGCTCGCCGCAGCGGGGGACAGTGTGGTTGGCTCGCCAGATGGTTGTGATGGTGGCTCTGGGGCGTGGGATGCTAAGGAAGCTGCGGCGACGGCGGCTGCAGCGCGGGTAGCCCTCCCGGCAGAGAAGAAACCCGGCCTGAACTTGAACGGGGTCATGCACGTGAAAAATGGGCGTCCATTATTTAAGGTAGTGTTGATGCTATACGTGTTATGATGGAGTTAATGCATGTTCACCCAGGATTTCCGTGATATGGATTCGGCGCTCGCGGCATATGCCAAGTTCTATGACGTCGTCCCTCTTCCGCTCCTCTTGCGCGGCATGCAACTCGCAGGCATCCGGGTGAACCTAGCAGCTTGGTCAGTCCAGCTGGCCACCTTCACACACGTCACCGGCATTGCGGCGCACGAAAACTGCCGTGACTGTGTTTACCTCAAGCTTGACGGTGCCCCCAACAATCTCCTTGATGGCCTGCCCGAGCTCACCGTCGCTCAAGATGTCGTTTCCGTGAGCATATACGCCGGTCAGACAAAGGAGGTGTTCAAACGCGAGAAGGGGCAGCTGCTCCCTCAACACTACCTGTGTCTTCGGCATCACCTCGACGATTTCGACATGGACTGCATGGAGATGGCAGCTATTGCTATCAACAAGATTATTTTCCCGGCGGTGTGCAGGAACAGAAGCCCCCTTGGCAAGCGGGTTTACCTGGAGGGCAGGGATGGGAGGTATATGAATCTACTTGGTCACGTTGGCTGAGCTGCTGGAGGAAGAGACTAACACAATCCTGTAGATGGACAGCTTATCCTTCATATTTTGCCGGCCTTCCAACGCGCTGCCTTTCCATCGAGCGCTTCCCAAGGGCTGTTATCCTTGGGACGGCGCCGCCTCATTGGTATCGGCGCTCGACCTCCCTTCGAGGCCTTCCGCCCACGCGTATCGTTCCGGCCCTCCGCCCATACCACGAGGGCGATGGCGCAGTGCCCGCCCTTGCCCGAACCGCAGGTGCCGCCTCCATCCCTTTCTTCGACGAGTACCCCGACGGCGTGTCCTCGAGGTCCTACGTCGAATTTGCCAAGGTAACTCCGGCCGGAACCGACCATGCGTGGGCTGGAGTGTGCTCCTTGCCGGAGGTTCAGGAGGCAAACGTGGTCGTGAGGACGGGATTTCGACCAGTGTTCATGGGGAAGGGGCCGGCGCTCATGAACGGATTCCTGGCGGCAGTGGGGGAGGCAGAGGTCGTGAGGGTTGAAAGGGAGGTTGGCGACGTGGTGTTCGTCGTCTTTGTGTGGTGGTTCGACCCTGGATACCTCCGCTACCTGAGGTTCCGCGGTGACCCGACCGCGTTTGAAATGATGTCGAAGGCGTTGCCCCTTCTCCCAGATGTTCTTGAGGCTCTCGGCGGGGGATGCGAGAATAAGCTCACTGAGGTGGAACTCATGATCCTTCTGGACAAGTTCGACGCCTCCCCGCTGAAGACGCAAGTAAAGGACCTTGTTGCAGCCGCCCTTAACGACTCGGTCAAGGTGCCAATGCAAATCGCCGGTCCCTACCCCTCGGCACAGAGTCGAACCTCAGCCGTGTCAGGCGCGTTGGCGAGCGCACCGTGGGGCACCGGAATGGTAGCTGAGGGTGGTGGAGCAGCGGAGGATGGAGGACTCGCGGAGGGCTGGTGGGAGGCCACACAGGGCGAGGCGGATGATTGGGAAGTGGAGCCTGTGGAACTCACGGTGGACAGCCCGCTAGTGGACGTCCCAGCGCCTGTTGAGTTTGTTCGCGAGCATTTTCGTGACGGCACGTTAAACAACGTGGCCGCCAGCCTGATCCGCCGTGCAACCAGGATTGACCCGGCTTTCTCCCGCCTACCTTATGTTGACAGGCTTGGCCTCATTGCCGAGGCTGGGCGCGTCATCGGGAGTGATGCCTGGGTCCACCACCTCGATGCGCTTATCCGGCGCGGCGACTTTACGCCGATGCTCGGGGAATCGCGTGCGGATCAGGTCAGCCGAGCCCGCGCCGAGACGAACCGCCGCCGTGTCAACCAGCCCAAGGGCAACCCCGGCGAGATCGCAGGCGTTTGCATCCTGTGTGGCTTTGAGTTTATCAAGGTCCCGGCCACAATGGGGATTGTGCACGTCGCGAAGGGATGCATCTCAAAGATGCGTGAAGGGTGGCATTTCGTGAGGCGGGCGGCAATCTACGAGGTGGCGGCGGTTTTTCCGCTTGACTCAGTATACTGGAGGTGGCTCAAAGAGTTGGCTGCGACGGGTCGCTCGATTGTGATGGTGAAAACCCAGGCGTTGGTGAGCTTTGAGGACTTCATCAGGAGAACCTACGTTCCTGGTCGCCGCCAGCTCCTTGCGTCTCTCAAGGGCACTGGCCAGCACATGGAAGCCCTATTCTTTTGTTTGAACAAAATCCAAACCGGCATCATGCGGAACTCACTGCCTGGAGGTGCTCGGGTGAGGAAGAGGCGGGTCACCCAGTTGGAGATAGACGCCAGCCGCTTAAATGGCGGCCCAATCGTCAGCAGTAAGGACACTACCTGGGAGTTGTTCGTGAACGAAGGCAGCTAAGGGTGTGTAATTTATCTTTACTCGCAAAGCTCTTTGTGACCCCATGCTTTGTTCTCCAAGTACTTTTCTTTTTCTTCGTTCCTTCTCTCTTCTGCACGTTTTACATTTCATCTTTTACCTGCTCGATCATTCTATTTATTACGACATTTATCCCTTGTCATCCTCCTTTGCGGTCTGCCTTTCTATTGACAGCAAACACTTCACACTGTGGCCAGTTCATTTTACTATAGCTAAACTAATTTCTCTTTCATTCCCTTCTCTTCACGTGCTGTAAATTTCATCAAATTAGTCGCTGATATGCATATTAATTTGCCGCAATCCTTTGTAAAACCTCTCTGAGCTGAGCTATCACTTAATTATCATCTTTGTATTTTTTGCGCCTCTTTCGCACGTTGCTTTTTTATATTTAAACTCCCGCCACAGCGAGAAGATAAAAAAACAGTGTTAAATACTTTTTCCATCACCTTGGTAATATCCACGCTCCATGGGTGCAAGATTATGAGGCTTTTTGGCATTTTTACTCGCGAGTAAGACAGTTTCTCCGTCGTTATTTATTGATCTCCTTTTTTCTTGATGGGATTGTGAGCGGAAAAACAGTTTTTCCGTGTATACTTGGTCACTTTTCTTCTTAGCTCCTTAGCTTTTGCTTCTTCTTGCAGTCCAGCTCAATGTGATGGGATTGTGAGTGGTTTTCTTGCCTAATTTGCGGATGAGAAGGCTAATCTTTGCAGAAGTACAATCATGGATTGATGTTCTCTTGGCTCGTTCTTCCAATTTCCGTGTGATTACAGTACTTTCCTTCTTTCTCTCACAATCTTCTTGGATGCATTTCGCTGATGCTTGACATTTCATTGTGGATCTTCGTCCCGCACCTTGCGGACATTGCGGACGTGGACCTGCTTTGCCTAATTCTGCCTGGCCGCCATTTATATGTATCTTAATTATGCCGTATTCAAAGAACATTCCACCAACCAGTACTATAATATCACACATTTGTTATGCTGTTAAATCTCTTCTCACCTATCTTTGTTTTAATCCCTTCATCACTCGCTGGTTACTCATGATTGACTACCTGCCAACAAATACTTGAAATCTTACTCGCGAGTCAAAATCTCAAGCCACCAAAGGCTTGAGCAATTTGACAATCTTGTAATTATGCTCAAGCCACCTTGCTTTCTTCTCACCGTTTTTCTTCTTAGTTAATGCAAAAACACATTGTCTAAACAACTTCGTAGTCCGAAATATGCTTTTGATTTTAATAAAAAATAAGTCAGACAAGACACACACATACGTCATAAAGTCCCACTTGATAACACAACTGCCAAAGATCAAGGTCAAGGGTCAAGG